GCATAATACTTGCTCAGCAAGTGTTTTTGAATGAATAAATGACCACAACTGGAATCTCCAGATAGCAGTGATTTTTCAGCCATGCCCATGGATCTGGGGTAGGAAAGAACATTCTAGATGGAGAACACCTGTCTCACGACCAAATCCCTTGTCTGGTTAAAGAAGCAAAGACATGGAAAGAAAAAAAAAAAAAAAGAAAGAAAGAAAGAACGAACGAACGAACGAGCGAGCAGCAAAGACATGGCAATGACCACAGGCTGGCTAGGGCCAAAGATGAAGAAAGGAGAGGACACTTGCTTCAGTCCTTGAAGACTTTTGCTCTCTGAAAAAGTCTCTGAAGGAAAATGAATTCTCAAGCGCCTACAAAAGATGAGCAGCATATAGCTTCTATCTCCAGGCCCCTCTTTTTAGTAACAAATGAAGCTCAGGGACAAGGCGACAGAAAGACGTGAGTGATAAGTGATAGCAACTCACTCATTTGGCCTATTTTGGAGGCAAAACTCAAGCAATCGGTAGTTCCGCAGTTCCCCAAGAGGTTAAACATAAAGCTACTATATGACCCAGCAATTCCACTCCTAGGAACATACCCAAGAGAACTGAAAACACATGTCCACACAGAAACTTATACATCAATGTTTATGGCAGCATTTCTCAGAATAGGTTAAAAGTGTAAACAACCCAAATGTCCATCAACTGATGAATGGATAAATAAAATGTGATATAAGCATACAACAGATTTCATTCAGCTGCAAAAAGATAGGAAGTACTGAAACATGCTATGATGATGATGAACCCGGAAAACACTACAGTAAGTAGAAGAAGCTAGTCACAAAGGACCACATATTATATGATGCCATTTACATGAAATGTCTAGACTCGGCAAATCTATAGAGACAGAAATTAGGTTGGTGGTTGCTCCGGGCTGGGGGATAATGACCACCAAATGGGTACAGGGTTTCTTTCTGGGATAATGAAAATGTTCTGAAAGGAGAAAGTGATGATGATTGCCCAACTCTGTGAATGACGTACTTTGTAAATAACCATTGAATTGTACACTTTAAATGGGTAAATTGCATGGTATTTGAAATAGATCTCAATGAAGCTGTTATTAAAAACAAAAGCAAAAAAACTCATGCAATAACCAAATCCTTTTGCAGTCTGCAAAGGACAAGGAAATGCTGGCACCTCCTATATTTCCCTCATGGAAGGAGAACAGCTCTGCCTATAATATCTGGGGCTTTATGGAGGTGACCCCCTACCGCTCTTACTCTCCACACTAGCTTGCTTTGCTACAACGGGCTTGCCTTGGTGCCTTGGTCTCGTATTTTATCTTCAACCATCTAGCAGACTTCTGCAGAACACCCCACCTACGCCAGGCGCCATGCTAGACACCGACCCTGAAATGAAAGGGGAGTGTGCTTTGCCTTCAAGGGGCTACCACTTTCATAATTATTCATAAAACCACAGGGCAGGAAACAGCAAAAGGAAGAGTTCTAAGTGGTATTCTGTGGTCGGTTGTGGGCAGAAGAGAATTTTCCATATCTGGGCTCCAGAAAGGTAGACTCCTGTCCACACCGGAAAAAGCACACATGGGTCTGGTATGAGAATATTGCAAAGGTGGGGCGGGGCAGAGCGTGCGGTGGGGAGCCCAGGAGCCAAATCCGACAGGAAGCTGGAAGACCCAAAACCCCTGAGGCCATGAAACAGTGCCAGCATTAGCCTTAAATTCCATCTGGCAGTACTTTGGGTGTTTCCATTCTGTTTATTTATTTATTTTTTTTAAAGGAAAGAGGAGATGGGGGAGGAGGGAGAGAACTCAAGTTATTACTCAGCATTTCCACCGCGTTTAATGTTTGCAAAGGACTCCTGCCCTCACTCAGTCCTGCACCGCCTGAAATAATAAAGGAATCTGAGAACCCAGCCAAGAACTCGAAGTACTTAGGAGACAGAAGAACCTACCGCTGCATCTGGCAAGGCGGGCACTGTTAAAAAAAATTAACCCCATAAAATAAGCACTATTTAAAAACTTAATCCAACATAATAATCTCTGTAAAACTGACAGGCCACTTGGTGGTGGGAGATTAACTCTGGAAGCTCATGTTCTAAGTCTGCCCATTCATACCTTGACACATGCAGTTTTGCTGAATGGGCACGGACATCCTTTTTTTGACATGAAAGAGTCCTGTGGCACACCCAGTATTTTATGGTAGCAATTAACAGGCACACCAGCTTCCTGCTGTCAGGACTAAGAGCACCAGGATCATCATATTCAAGATACAACATCTATCACCTGGCAGGTTTCTGTGTGACTGTCTATCAGCGGGGCCAGCACTGGCAAGCCTACTGCTGCATGAGCTGTGAAACGCTAGGAGCACTGTGGCTTCTGGACTCAAGCTTGAAATGGATGTGTTTGTGCGTCTCTGATTCCATGTATCTTCAACCAAGCTCGGTGACCCCCTCAGCTTGCTCCAGAGGAGTGCCACCTTTCAGAATGTTCATTGGTCAACTGGGAGACTATTCAGTTAAGTACAGAGAGGATGCAAACACGAAATGGTCACTGATATGAATCCTATGAGGACAAAGTGCTTCAGTGAACTATTTCAAAAAATATGTTGGGGTCACATAGAGACAAAAAAAGAATTTTGAAAATGTATTCAAAAGACATCACCTACTTTATTTCCAGTCAATTCTCCACTCTTCCCTCCCACACTCCACAGTACACTTAGAAAAATTTAACGACTCAACACACACATACACACACATATACATGCACACGCACTGAAAATCTAACATGGTAAAGTGGGAATTACGAGGTCAAGATCTGAAAAAGACCAAAACTCAGAAAGATGAGACCAGCATGTGAGGCTGCTCTCTTGTTGGGGCACCTGCCAAATTAAAAAAAAAAAAGTGTCCTGAATGGCTGAGCAGCATTTCTGATGGCCTCATGGATCCAGGAGAATCATTGGATTGCCACTGAGTTGGCTATAATTTCAGACAAAGTAGACTAAGGAAAAATCATTGCTACAGAAAAAAATAATGGTAGGAGATTTAGTAAACAGGAATTAAAAGTTCAAATCGCTTAATATAACAATTCTAAAGTTAAACTTGTATGTACCTAAAAACAGGTCTGAGAATATATAAAGCAAAAAACTGACATCAGTGTAAATCATTGCTGACATAAACTGCAAGCACGGTGGAAGATTTAACAGTTCTCTCAGTGACGGAAAATGCAGAAAAATGTGTTTTTGGGGAAAAAAAAAAGACGGAGAAATCAGAACCCGAATGTCATCTATAGAACTCTCACCCCATGATCCTAATATACATTCTTTTCAAGCCCATATAGAAGAGGTATAGAAACTGAATGTACACATTTCACCTGTACAATGCAAAAATGTGTGCCCACAGATAGGCTAAATAGAATGGAATAATTTTTTTTAAAGATTTTATTTAATTATTTGACAGAGAGAGAAAGAGAGATCACAAGTAGGCAGAGAAGCAGGCTGGGGGGAGGGTAGCAGGCTCCCCGCTGAGCAGAGAGCCCGATGCGGGGCTCGATCCCAAGACCCTGAGATCATGACCTAAGCCAAAGGCAGAAGCTTAACCCACTGAGCCACCCAGGAGCCCCTAGAATGGATTAATTTGGCTTCTGACTAAGAGGTATGACCAGTAAGTTTTGAGGGGACTATAGCTTCAATAAGCAAAGGAGTCCTGAGATGAGACGATAGTGCATTGTCCCTTGCGCCTCAGAGACTTAGGGACTATATGGAATTGCTGTTGGGCTGGACCTGAGATGAGGTGAGGTGAGGATGAAAACAGAAGAGACCGTAGAGTGGGAAGAGTCTACACAGCACCCCCTTGCTTCTCCCTTCCCCTGGGAGCTACAGGATTGTACTTTGATTTGTGTGGAAGGGAGAAGCAAACCCCTGCCCTCTGCCTAAAAATAAAGGGAGGTAGCAGGAGTAACAAACTCTTCTGTGCAATTGGGCAGAATGACTTAGCTTTTCTATGGCCAAACGCTGCTTCCTATGCCCCACCCCCCCGCCCCGCGGCTTCACATCCCTTCTTCCCCATCCTAGTAATCCACATTAGGTTCTTGGTGACCACCTCTGCCATTCCACCATCACCAGCACTTACTGGGATGAAGGGGAGTGCAGATCCTGAAAATCTAGAGACCTGATTCTGACAAGCCTCACTCTATGAGGAAAGTCTGCCTAGCGTCCCACCTCATTCCTGCCTCAATCTTCAGAGAGAATAAATGGGCCCTCAAATTGGTCTTTGCTTTGACCTTCAACTTCAGTGGCCTGGGTCCGTGTCTGTTTTACTCAGGGGACTTGACATGTGGATGCAGGAAGTCCAGCTAGGAATCCGAGAGCTTGAGTTGGAGCTAAAACTTGGGGTGGGGTGGGATGTGGTAGGGGGAGCGGGGGACACAATGCGTGCCTCTCAGACAATCGGGAGTCCTGAGTACTACCCTGCAGCCCACTAATAGGTTAACCAGAACCACCTCCCTGGCCCGAGCTTGTTGCAAGAATACACTAGTGGGCTTTCTGGATCGGCTGTAGCCCTGACCTAATTCTGTGAAAGAATCTCAGACCCGTAGGTCTCTCCTTCATTTCTCCCCCAATCTGGCAACATTTAGTGCTGAGCTGAAAAAGCCACTTAATCAGCATTGCTCCTTGGCACGACAGCCAATCTGGTGTCCCACGTGGCTCGTCTCAAGCCAGCCCTGCGGCGGACCCTCCAGCATCCCATGCTTGGGCTTCACTGACTTGTGTACTTTGAGTTTCGGGTGTCTGGGCACCTCTGCACTCCTGCATTCAAAAGGCTGTTCTGAAATCGCCCTCGGTACGAAACTGTATAACCTGAAGTCCTTCCTGGATTTTTACTAGCCCCACTTCAGGAAGTAAAGCATGTTGATGTTTGCTCTAAGTGCCTCATTAATAAGTAACTCCCACCGTTTTTTCCCCTTCCCCGTCTGGCAGAAGGCCATCCAGGCTTACCCTCATACATCTCCAGGATGTGAACCGTGTCTCCAATCTGCAAGGAGAGCTCCACATCTTGAGAGGCGTTGTAGTTATAGATCGCTGGAAAGGAGAAATACACGTAGTTATAGATCGCTGGAAAGGAGAAATACACGGGGGAAATGGCATCAGTGGTGGATAAAATACAAGACACTGAGCAGCACATGCGGCGGCTCATGAATTACTTATTTAACAGACAACCGTCTGTCTCGTACTTCCGAGTGAATCACCCACTGCAAAGCAGAGGACATCCTCCTCAACCCCCACGACTGGCATGTTCCAGTCACTCTTCCACCCAACAAAAACCGGCTGGTTGCCTACGGCATATTGTGTTAGAGACCAGTGGTAGCGACAAAACACAGATGTGGTCCTCATCCCAGGGGTTCTTAATCATCTAGGAGGAGAAGGAGGATAGTCAATGTAAAATATTATAGAGACAACTACTTAATTTAAATTGTGGCAAGAGTTATGAAAGAAAAAAAAAAAACGGGCAAGGGGCGCCTGGGTGGCTCAGTCGTTAAGTGTCTGCCTTTGGCTCAGGTCATGATCTCAGGGTCCTGGGATCGAGCCCCACATCGGGCTCCACACTCAGTGGGGAGTCTGCTCCAGGGTTCTCTCTCTCACTCTGCCCCTCCCCCTGCTCATGCTCTTGCTCGCACTCACTCTCTCTAACATAAATAAATCTTTAAAAAAGAGAAAGAAAGAAAGAAAAACAGGCTACAATGAGAATATGCTGTGGGGTTCTTTAGGTCGGTCCCCTTGTTCATCAGACAACAGCCAGCCTACAACACCACTGAGGTTATGATCTCTAAGACACAGAATAAGCCATTTCCTCGCTTCCCTGACATAGTAACTGGGAGTCAAAAGGCCACTGTGGGTCCCATCTACCTGGGAGGAACAGACTGACATGGTACCTTGCAGACATGGCTGCCTTGTCCCAGTTCCAGGCATCCCGGGGACCTGGATGGCCCCAGCACCTCCTCATCAAGGTCACCTCAATCACCACATTCTTAAGACTGGCAGAGACTGGGGCAGATTATGAAAAATATGCTTAGTCTTATAATTCAAAAAGACAACCTAATTTTATTTATCTAGTTATTTATTTATTTTTAAAGATTTTACTTATTAATTTGACAGAGAGACAGAGGGAGAGAGAACACAAGCAGGGGTAGTGGGAGAGGGAGAAGCAGGCTTCCTACTGAGCAGGGGGCCCAATGCTGGGTTCGATCCCAGGACCCTGGGATCATGACCTGAGCCGAAGGCAGACACTTAACGACTGAGCCACCCAGGTGCCCCAACAACCCAATTTTAAGACGGGTAAGAGCTCTGAAGAGACATTTTACCAAGAATCATAAGCTGGCTAAGACACATGAAAAGATACTCATCATCATTAGTCATCAGGGAAATGCAAATTAAAACCACAATGAGGTAACACTTCACACCTGCTAAAAGGGCTATAGTTTCAAAAAGGCAGACAACCAGTAAGAATGTGGAGACTGGAACCCTCAGACATCGTGAACAGGAATGTGAAATGGCCCAGTCTCTTCAGAAAACAGGTGGATGATTACTTAGAAAGCTAAACATAAGTTCCCACTGTGGCCCAGCAATGACATTCCCAGTTATCTACGAAGAGAAATGAAAACTCGTTTATGCAGCAAGTTTATGTGAATGCTCACAACTGCTGACGTAGGCAGAAGCACAGTCCCCCCAGAAGACAGCCACATCAAATTTCTGGAACCCGCGAATGCTACCGTGTGCGGCCAAACATTTGAGTATGTGAAAGATCTTAAGAGGAAGACCTTTTTCTGGCTTACCAGGGTAGGCCCTGAAGGCAAGCCCATGTATCCTGGTGAGAGAGGGTCAGTGGGCGTTTGGGGAGATGCACAGAAGAGAGGGCAACGTGGAGATGGAGGAAAGGGCTGAGTCAGGGACTGGCATTACCACCAGAGGAGGCAGCAAGGAATGGGATCTCCCCAGAGCCCCTAAAAGGAATACGGACCAGCAACACCTTCCCCTTAGACTTCTGGTCTCAGACCATGAAAGCATACATTTCTATTGTTTTTAAGCCACCAACTTTGCAGGAATTTGTCACAACAGTCAAAGGAAACAAATATAGCCAACACTTGTATTTGCAATAGCCAAAAAGTGGAAACAATTCATCGACTGACGAACGAATAGATATGTGAACTAGGCTATATCGGTACGATGGAACACCACGCAACAACAGAAAGTAGTGAAATACGGACGCATGCTACAACACAGGGGAACTTCGAAGGCATTATGCTAAATGATGGCCCTATGCGAAATGCCTATTTTAGGCTCCCATTTATTTGCAATGTCCAGAACAGGCAAATCTATCAGACATGGTCCCGCCAATTACTGGTTGCCTGGGCAGGGGAGAGGAGGGAAGAGCGACCGAACACAGCAGGCACGAGGGAGGTTTTCAGGAAGGTGGAAAGATCCTCAAACTGGATTGAGGGGATGGTTACACAACTCTGTGAATTTACTAACATCCACTGAACTATATATTTGAAAGGGTGGATTTTATAGTACATAAATAGTGTTCAATAAAGCTGTTTTTTTAAAAAGTAGGTCTAGTTTTTACCCTCATTTTTAATTAGGGATTTGCATCCTTTTGGGAAGAAAGAACTACCTCAGAGATCCACTTCTAGCCATTCTCCTGACAATTCAAGGAACCGAGACGTTCCCCATCTCTGCAGCTCTAACGAGCACGTGAGGGTCGTCATTCAATCCATCTGCCAGATCCCACAAGGGTCACTAAAAAAATGGAGAAAAGGTATGCCTGCACTGCGAACTGTGGGTACTCACTGCTCTTTCTGGAACCTGCAATGTGCCCTCTGTCTGCCACCTGACCACAGGCTTTTCCTTACCTCATAGTCTATCCGTGAATGGAAGGAGCACACCTCCAGCACATCTTTTATCAAGTGCCCTCTCTTTCTGGAGAGACTCACCCAAAGAGTGTTCTTCTGTAGTCCTGGCACAGAAGCCTGAACAAATTATGCTGAAATTAATTTACTATTGAGCTTTTAGACTAGGCTGAATTCAGAACAAGGTTGGGCTAATGAAGTGGGTTTGGAGAAACTACCTCTTCATGGGCCACGGGCCATGGCTGCTAGTCCACGGAAGTTCTCCTTCATCTGAGAGTCAGGTCACTCAATGGTTTTGCCCATTTGTATGTCTGGTTTTCCATAGAAAACGTACATCTCACAGCCTTGACTCCCCCCTAGTCCCCATTCAGACTCCCACGGAACCTGTCTGTTCCTTCCAGAGGCCCTGCTCACAGATGGAAACAGGAAGTAATGAGGTTGCTGTGTCACAATGTGTTGTGTAATGACCAAGGTCTATCTCTTCCTCATTTTTGTCATCAGGAAAGTAGGCAGACACACTCTCACAGGCAGCACCTAGCACAAACACCTATCAAGGACTGTTGTAAACACACACACACACACACACACAAACACACCATAAACCATAACTCCTAGATTCCTAAATCCTCCAAAATTATCCTGGCCTTAATTATCCCCCTTAGCCTCCATCATTGGCCAAATTCTGCCCTCTGCTCCAGTCAAGACTCTAACAGTGTCCCCTAAATTCCGTGCTCAACCCACGGTTTATCCCGACTTGGAACAACAGCTCATCTTCTGCTACATAACCACCCGAAGCTCACATTCACAATTCCATTCGACAAGCAACTACTGACTCCCTATCACCCTGCATGAATCTGTTTCTTCTGACATCTGACGTCTTCTCCTTCCAACACAGTTTGGGTTGTTAATCTCAGATAATCTTGGTTCTCATCTGCCCCCAATCAGAAGGCAAACTCCTCACGCATGTGGCTCTGGCTGCACACTATTTGTGTGTCTTTCACATTGCCAGGCATTGGATTAGACCCAAAGAACATGCTCAAGACACAATGATGACTTTTACAGACTCTGCCAATCGATTCAGTCCTTCACTGCTTCTTCCCCAAACCTTAAGATGCTTCTGTCTTCCTGAGAAGCAACAGCTGTGGTCCCCCAGCCCTCATGAAAGAGATATCAAAATCACTTCTCCCACCACTTTTTGTTTATTACACAAGAGAATCTGCTTTTTCAACCCAAGCTTTCAGAGGGATTCCCATGGGAGGTACAACCCTTAAATGGCTTTCACTGGTGTAAAGTCACCAGGTAGAGGACATTCACCAGTTTCATGTCTTCAGGCAGAAGTACCAACAAGATTTCCAATCACTCAGAGTTGTCATTTTTTCATTCCAATGATGCACTTTGCTCTCCCTCTCCCACTCCCAGTACCCCTCATTTCCGTTGTATTTTATGTTTTCCTTTCCGTATGTAATACAGTAACTCTAAAAAGTGTGTGCCACACACCACAGTATTTAGTAAGGAAACAGATTCAGAAGGGGTAAACACCTTGCCCCAAGTAATTCAGCTTTATAAGCAGCAAGGCTGTTCCTAATGCTGGTGATGATGCCTTCATCATATTTTACAAGGCTGCTCCCGAATGGTGAAGAACAGCCTGGAAACAAAGAGAGGAGCCTCAGAGATTCTCAGTATGATGTCTGCCTTAGATTTCTCTCATAAAACGGAAATCCGACTTCCAAACACAAGCTTTATTATACAAAGCAGTGACTGGTAATCATGTTGTCCACTAGTCTGGAGCTATTTGGAGAACAGGCATACAACTAGCTCTCAGTGGACGGTGCTTTCTTCCTGGAATGTGAGTAATTATTGCAAAGAAAGACAGATAAAGGGAAAATAAGGGAAACACTGAGGGTTAAACAAAACACTATTGAAGACTCAACTATACCACTTACAAACACATGACCTTGAACGAGTTCTCAGTCTGAGCCTCGGTTCCCCATCTGTAAACTAGGCATCAGATCAGATGACTCTAAGGGTCCCTGTGGCTCCAAAAGCCTCTGATTCATGAGGTGATGATAAGCAGGAGAAACAAGTTGTGCTGTTTTGAACTAGCAGGCCCACCACAATCTCTTGTTTTGTCTGAGGAAATTAAACAAGAACAGGGAGTTGCTGAATATAAATTGC